GTGTAAAGTCTTAATATGCAGCAAAATCATGTGGAGGGTTGGCAGAATTAGGTTGAGATCTGCCATTAATCCCAACACCCAAAGTAAGAACTCGGATAAAATACGGCCACAATCCTATGCAAGTTTACCCTAAAAGAGGCAGAAGCAAACTCCAGCCCTCCAGATGTTTGGGACTACAATTCCGATCATCCCTGACCACTGGTCCTGTTAGCTAGGGATGATGGGAATTGTAGTCCCAAACATCTGGAGGGCCAGAGTTTGCCTATGCCTGCTCTAAAATAAGTCCCATTATGTCAGGTAGTGCTTACTAACTAATAGATATTTTCGGATTATAGTGTTAACAGTGCATATCTTCTCAAAAGTAAGCTCCACTGAATTCAGTTAGATTTACTTCTTAGAACGTGTGCCGTTTCTGCTACCCATCAAAATTCTTACTGTCCTCACACGAAAAAGTGCATCAGGCTGGATCCAGAGAATACTGAGTAGAATTCAACCTCTGCAACGGGCTTTTCTGCTAAACCCCGCTGTACCCCTCTGGGAAAGCATGGAAAGGGGCCCAGGGGTCTACAGCAGGATTGGAACATCAGAAGAATTAAATGGGGCTACATCCTGCACAAGCAGAAGTACTGTTCCACTCATGCAAGACATCTCTGGATCTAAGCCATTCCGTATAAACAGTCTTCTTCCTTTCAAAACACAATTATGCAAATTGTTTCTTCGTATTATAGCTTTCAAGCCACTAAAGATGACAGCCTGATTTGCCTAATGAAGCCTTAAAACCTTCACCCACTTACAGTTATGTCTGTTTAGCCCCACTGTCTTTAAGTACATGGAATGAGCATAGGATTGTACTCAGACTATGCAAGCTTGCTAACATAAAAAAATGTCAATTTTTCAAAATTCGCAGTATTGTATTACTGTCCAACAATCAATATTGTCTAGTCCCTCCTCCGAATTAAGAAATCCGCACATGCGTGCCCATATTCATAGTAGAGGGAGTGCTTTGAACTTTCTGCAAATGCAGATCTCGAAAGGGCCAGGTCATCCTTGAAATGCCTTGTCACAATTATTTGGGCCAATTTGTTGTCGTTTTTCTTAGATGTATGCATAAAATACTAACGGTGCATGCTTGCAGATATGTGTGCATATGTGTACATGGCACAAGTGATCTAGTGTTGGCCGCAACTCCCTATCTGTGTGTTCACCATCATATCACGTTTCCCATTTTTGAAAAATAAAGTTAGGCAGCATTCTAAAAACTATCAAATTATCCAGAATGCAACTGTGTGGCACACATCGTATTTCAAATGCAAAGGGAATAAGATGCATCTTGTTTAAGGAGTTGATTGGACTGACACCGTTAGATATCTCAAGAACTAAGGGCCAAACTGGATGCTTTAAAGACATATTTTCATTTAACATACAGGGGTTTTTTTGTTTTTAAATGCAAATTGCATCAGCATGGAGGGGCTGATAATTAACAGCATCAGAGCAGGCATGAAATTTAACCCTCCCCTCCCCTTATTTGTATTGAGAGCAAATTTGGCACTGACGCCAAGTTCCCTCTCTGTGCCTTCCATGATCCTACTAATTATCAGCCCCCTCCCCCCCCCCCCGCGGATGCAATTTGCATTTTTTTAAAAAAACATCTGCATGCAAATGCATTTAACGTTATGTGTAGTTTGACCCTAAGAGTCCTCTGGGGCAGGAAGCAAAATCAATATATGTTCCTTGAAAACACATATTTCTTAGTTGCTGAAAGACCAGCTCCGTTAGACTCCTCTCTCAATTGTCATCGGCCGTCACTCAATCAGGCTACAGGAGATGGAACTGCAGGGTCTCTCCATTCACCATGGTGAATGACCTTCAACTTTTGGTTTCTCATAATAATAATAATTTTATTATTTATACCCCACCCATCTGGCTGGGTTTTCCCAGCCACTCTGGGCAACTTACGCCATATATAAAAACCTAGTAAAACATCAAGCATTAAAAACTTCGCAATACAGGGCTGCCTTCAGATGTCTTCCAAAAGTTGTGTAGTTCTTTAACTCCTTGACACTTGAAGGGAGGGAGTTTCACAGGAAGGGTGCCACTACCAAGAAGGCCTTCTGCCTGGTTCCCTGTAACTGCTTCTCTCAGGGAGGGAAGCAGCAGAAAACCCTAGGATGAAGACCTCAGTGTCCAGGCTGAGCAATGGGGGTGGAGACGCTCCTTCAGGTATACAGGACCGAGGCCGTTTAGGGCTTTAAAGGTCAGCACCAACACTTTGTTTAAATGCTCTAGATTCCTGTTTAGATATGGCTTTGTGCTACTGTTTAACTGGTTTTATGTTTTGTTTTAATTATACTGTATATTGTTTTCCTGTTGCATTGCATGCTTTTAAGTAAATAAAGTAAGAAACAGTGCCTGGGTTTGCTTTTTTCTATCATCGCTCTCCACACCTTTTCCTTTTGTGTCATGTATTTTAGATTCTACACCTAAGGGCAGGGACTGTCTTATCACTGACATTTATAAGCTACTCTGGGAGCCTATTTTGGATGAGGAGTGGGATAAAAATGGTACAAATAATATCAACTTTACAGTCAACAGACCAAAAACAAATGCTCAACTGTTGTTCCATAATACAACATAGATATTGAATTCATACAGTCTTTCAAATGCATTCATTCCTCCACTGGTATTTTTCCATGGGCGAAATTATTAATTCAGTATCATCCCATCTTAAATGGGCCTACTTAAAGTTGCCGTGGTGGAGATGCAGACCTGATACTACAACAGCTGCATTAGTAAGCAGTAACAGGTTATGCTGTTAATACCACTAAACCAGAGTAACACTAATAATTCCCTAATAAAGACAAAAAGACGAATCCAAAGCAAGAAGCTTACACCTTAAGTGTTTTCACAGCTGAAAAAGATGGCTTCCAATGCATTAAAAAGAATTATTACTACATATCCTTCTTAGGCATACTATAATGCAAAGGTGAGTGTAATTTTAAAGTAGGGATGGGAAACCTATCGTCAAGAGCCCCATGAAGGCTTCTTGGCAGAGCTGGTGAGAGTAGGAAGAGGATTAGGAAGAAAGTATGAAGTTAGATTATGGTGAGGGGGCCGGCTGTCTAGAAGGCAGTGATTTGGGTGCTGGGGAAGGCCCAAGTGGGTTGTCTGGAGATAGTCCTGTCATCAGATGACCTTAATGTGATAGCAGAGCCACCAGTCATGACTCCAGCACCACCTCCCATCAGTGAAGTACTTGCCATCCTATGGAACGTGGGTGGCGCTGTGGTCTAAACCACTGAGCCTCTTGGGTTTGCAGATCAGAAGGTCGGCAGTTCGAATCCCTGCGACACGATGAGCTCTCGTTGCTCTGTCCCAGTTCCTGCCAACCTAGCAGTTCGAAAGCACACCAGTGCAAGTAGATAAATAGGTACTGTTCCGGTGGGAAGGTAAACGGTGTTTCTGTGCGCTCTGGGTTCCGTCACGGTGTTCTGTTGCACCAGAAGCGGTTTAGTCATGCTGCCCGCATGACCCAGGAAGCTGTCTGTGGACAAACGCTGGCTCCCTCGGCCTGAAAGCGAGATGAGCACCGCAACCCCAGTCGCCTTTGACTGGACTTAACCATCCAGGGGTCCTACACCTTTTACCTTTACTTCCCATCCTCAGGAGTGGTGGCTGAGACCAGATCAGATGATGATCTAGGCATGTCAGCTTTGCCTTCAACGCCAAGAACACTGTGATGATGGTGACAGCAGAAGCAGACTCAGCCCACTGACAGAAATGCTTACTTGCTTGCCTAGTCCTGTGGCTCAGGACAACAAGTGCATGAACAATTGAGCCCACCCAGCTCTTCAGATATGGAGCACAGGGGAATATCAGTGGCTGGGCCAACATCTTAGTCCATATCTACCCATGCAGCTTACTCTGTTGTGAGCTTCTGAAATGTGTAATCTGATCTATGTTTGGGCATTGTAGTAAAGTTTGGAATCCAGCCTTTTACAATACCGGAGCTGTGTTCAAGTACTGTGTCTACAAGTGGGAGGGAGGAAGCCTATGGTCTTCCAGGTTGGAATCAGCCCCGACTTGCATGGACAATGGTCACAGAAAACAAGAGCTGCAGTATAACAACATTCTGAGGGCCATAAGTTACCCGCTGCTGTTTAGAAGACTGCATTGGGTTTATAAAATTCTGTTCGCTTCACACTCATTGTCAAGCCTAATTTATTTTTTAAAATGCGATTCCCGAAAAGAAATGCCCAAAACAAAACAAAAACAAACTGGATTGCCTGGGTTTTCCAAAGATGTTGCCAATTTTGCTGCAATCTATTGGTCACTTAAAAAGGATCCCTGACAGTTAAGTCCAGTCGCAGACGACCTGGGGTTGCGGCGCTCATCTCGCTTTACAGGCTGAGGGAGCCAGCATTTGTCCGCAGACAGCTTTTCTGGGTCATGTGGCCAGCAGAACTTAGCCGCTTCTGGCACAACAGAACACCGAAACCAGAGCAGCACACGGAAATGCTGGTTACCTTCCCACCGGAGTGGTACCTATTTATCTACTTGCACTTTTTTGGCATGCTTTCGAACTGCTAGGTTGGCAGGAGCTGGGACCGAGCAACGGGAGCTCACCCCGTCGCAGAGATTCGAACCACCGACCTTCTGATCGGCAAGCCCAAGAGGCTCAGTGGTTTAGACCACAGCACCTGGAAGCAAATCTCATTAAACTCAGAGTTAGTTAAGTTTCAAATAAGCACCGCTGAATAAGCAAGGCTGAATACCAGTGAAGTGCGAGTTAATGCAAAACTTGAATGCCGCTAAAACTTCAGCTCTGAGTAAAATGGTCAGGAAAAAATGCCTTTATGCTGTCAGGTACTGCCACTCCTCCAAAATAATACACATACCAGTAAGCATCACGTAAACTACAAGATGTTGAAGTTATGTGGCTTGCCAACACAGAAGAGTTGCTATCTATGTATTTCTTAGTGAGTTGTGATAATCAAGTTTTTCTCATGTGCAGTCCTTGCTTTTTTTTTCTAGGGACAGAGCAGTTCCTAGTCCACCATTCCCCCCCCCCCTCCAGCAATCACCCTCTTCCCCTCCCTTTTTTAATACCAGACAGGACACAGTCTGGCGATTCAGGGGCTCATGCAAGCCAGACTTCCTTTAGTGCAGCCCTTTGGGTAGAACTGCTAATCCATCTTACTAATTAACAAGATAATGGTGGTTAGTCAGAAAACAGTATTAATGCTAACCATCTAGGAAACATCAACAGAAATGACTTGGCCTTTTCACTGGTCTCCGGTAGCCAACCCATGCAGCTAAACAGAAAGGTATTTAGATGTTTTAAAATCTGGACATTCAAGTGCATCAGAAGTAAGCACACTTGACAGAACTGCATCTATTTGCTGGAAAGTCTGGTGAGTTTCTGCTGAATTCTTGGTTTGGAAATGAAAGCTTTTTCACAACTCTCTTAATATCTTACTTTTAAACAATGTGCGAAAATAGGAACAGTGTAATATAACCAGAATGAAAAACATGTGGCAATTATGTGACACATACCAAGACCTACACAAGCTTAGATTGATAGATAGATAGATAGATAGATAGATAGATAGATAGATAGATAGATAGATAGATAGATAGATAGATGATAGATAGATAGATGATGTCATTGTTGTTATTGCCTTTTTAGTGATCAGTATCAGTATCAAACTTTATTTCGGTCACAGAACAACAAAAGATAAACTGAACACATCCATAATTTCGAGCTGTACAATACAGCTTACAGTATGTATAATAATGCCATACAATGTCTTTTGAGTGTCAAAAGTATAGCAGACAACGGAAGAATTAAATTCTGTAGAAGAGAAATACAAACAAAAAAGTGTGCTTCGGGGGAGAAAGAATTGGAACTTTAACAATCTGCTACTACAGAACTGGAAAAAAAAGTTATCTATTAGACGAAGGATTTCTATTATCTGAAGTTCTACTGCGGCAAACAAATACAACAGCTTTCATTCAGCGATTGTCAAAAAAACTTTCCAATGTGCCCACTGCAATGCAGATGCCAACCAACGAATCAAAGGCATTCAGCAACTAGACAAAGAGGGTTTGATGCCAACCTCGGTGCCACTGGCAACCATTATTGGCATCAAGCACATTGTCTGCTTTATCCTCCCCCACTCTGCCGGCACTTGACAAACAAAATGGCGGTTCTTGTAGAAACGGAACACAGCACAAGAGCTGCACTGATTGAATCAAATACTACCAAATGATTTTATGGACTGAAACACAGCTTGAACCAAACATCAGAAACAAGCCCACGAAACCTGTTTCCTTCAAGCGATGTATAGCTTTCACAACATTTAACACTAAGATGAATCCAAGAAACACTGGAACAAGGAGGAAAACCTTTCTTTCTTCCCTTTTTAAAAAAGTATTTATTCTGTGCTGCGTGTTTCGAACACCTGTGGACTAGGAAATCATTTTATCCTAATTTGTTTCCCCATAAAAGTGGTACGAACGCAAGCAAGCGTATCAAGTAACGTTTAATTTCGCTTGTGTCCTGCAAATTCTAAGAGTAGACCCGTAGCAAAAAAAAACAACGAAAAAGGAAGTGAAGGAGAGACAGGCAGAGTTTTGAGAGGAATGGCTGGGAAGGAGAGTCAGATAAAGCTTGTCAACAAAAACTCGATAGACTGGTCTATATTTCTTCTTCCAGTACAGATCTGGGAAGCAAGTAGAAGAAATCCTCTTTGTCAAAGCACAAAAAAAAGGACTGACATTTCTAGATCAGGAAATTCTCAATATATTGTAACATTGCTCTCTGCTCTGCAATGCGGATGCCAACCAACAAATCACAGGCATTCTAGGCTAAACAAAGAGGGTCCGATGCCAATCCTGGTGCCACTGGCAACCATTACTGGCACTCAAACTGTTCTTCCACATGCTTTTCGCCAACGTTTAAACATGCGCCTTATTTTATCCTTTCATTCATTTAAGAACTTTGTCCTTCTTTTAAAATCCCCCACCTTGTCCAACAACTGATTACATTACTACGCCTTATTGATGAGGCATTACCAAATAGATTTTTCATATACCAAAATAGAAGACCAATCCGCTATAAAAGAGATCATTACTCTGACTGACATTGTGCTTCTACCTCTTGCAAGCCTAGCAACCCTTGGTGCCTTGCCTGCCAAAACACAAAAATGAGACTGAGAGCGCGGACTATTCTGAGAACCATTTTTAAAGGGGAGGGAAAGAATCCTTTTTTATATATAAAGGAAAACAGCCAAGGACATATAATTTCAAGCATAGAAATACTAGTCGTTTAGCAGATTTCACCCTCTCCCACAAAAAAACGCACACCCTGATAGCATACAAAGAGGACGCATAGTATGCAATAAATGGAAGGTTCTCTCAAAGGTGACTTGGTACAAAGATATGTACCAACTTTACATCCAGTTATTTTTCGCAGTAACTGAAAAATTCGGAATGATTGCATGATTCAGGCTGATTTAGCGAAAACCGAAAACATCCACTAGGTATCACTAGCAAAACGGTGTTCTCCATCTCAGCCCTGCTCTCAGTTCAAGTGGAATATGTATCAACTTCAAAGCACAGCATCTTAAGAAGAACAGGTAGACAGGTACAATAGATGCTATAGCTACGTTGTTTTCATCTGCATTTGACTTTCCGGTGTGCATGAGGCGCACATCACCTGGTTATAGCCTTCCTTAAAAACACTTTGAGGTGCAAAAAATAATAATAATTCATTTTTAACACAATGCATGTGTGTTAGCATATACATAACAAAATGCATATGCAAACACCATAGCTTATTTCCTCCTTCTTTCAAGATTAATTTGCAGCACAATCCTAAAGGTGTTTACCCTTTCGCAACCCTGCATAGGATTGCAGTCTTAAGAGTCATGTATCATAATTTTCAGATGAAAATCACAGCAAAACAGCTGGGCCGCAACTGGAAGGAAGCTAACTGTCTTTAAATCGCATTGAAACCAATGGGATTGAAACTGGTAGTAACTTAAGTCCAGTTATTTCAGTGAGACTTTTATCAATTGAAGTTGCTCTGAATTGGGGCCCTTAATTCTGTATGTCTCTTACTGCTAGAAATGAGAACAGGAAAGTATTTTCATTAGTATACATTAATCCTAAAATAGATACGTAGTCATATTTTATTATATAACAATTCCATGTGAAGTTAGGACTAAGCATGGCAAACAAGGATGGAATCATGTAAACTGAACCAGAACATTCAACTTTCGAAGTATTTTAAATTGTAGGTGAAAATCACAAGCCAAACCACCACCACCCGTTTTACTTTTAATTTCATCATTAAGTTACATAACATACCCTTCTTTTATACTTGGACCAAAAATATGACCTCCTGTCTTTCTTTTAACTACCTTCCAACACCAGGCCGATTTATGCAAAAAGCCACCAACTCCAAACATTATGGGATGTAAGTTCACTTCTTGAAACATGTTTGTTGTATGACTTGAAAACAAAACATTCATTTGCCTGGGATTTATTACTGAAAATACATAAAATGGAAGGCAATAATCTAAGTATACAAACAGTTCCGATAGTGACTGCTTATGTGTTTTGTTACATTTTAATGTAACTTCACATTTCCATATTGAAGCAACATTTTTAAAGTTTGTGTATGTTATGGAAATTATAATTTGCAGAAATATTTGGAGGAAGACCAAGCTACGAACACCTATTGTGCCTTGAACAACACGAAATGTTCATACAACGAGCGCTTAGTGCATATTAATATCCAGATGCTACATAGGCCATACTCTAAAACTAAATCTTTTTTGTAGGGGTTAGAGCGTTTCCTTGCTAAAACCATGAAAGAGATAGGAGGCAAGATTTGATATAAACAGATATGAATCTGTTTAAATAAGTGCATATAGCTTTTGCTCATTTGCTCGTATCAATAGATTTACCAACATTTTAAAACTTCTGCTCTGCAACACACGCTGAAAGCTTCCCCAATATTTCGAACTTCCCTTTTGGAACAAAAGCTTGGCATGCATTCTCAGAAATACATGTCACTTAAATGTACAAATATGCAAATTAGCATACACCTGTGTACATGTATGCAGGGAAATATATATGCATATTCTTTGGCTTAAAGGAGAAAGATCTAAAGGGGGTTCAACATATTCATACAAGGCAAGTAACCTACCTTGATCCTGCACGTAGTACGCCAGAAACAAATCAAGCTCCTTGACTGATACTGTTATGTGATGTGGCTGAACACAAAGTGCTGGATTTGTGCAATGGGGGGATTTCATGAGCCGCTCTCCGTCCGTACTTTCCAAAGGGATACCTTTAAAGAGGATCACCATGACTAGATCCAGACGCCAGACTTTGTCTGCCTGTCGCAGGCAGTCGATTCTCCTAATCTTACCCTTCTGGTCAGGATTGGACAACACACAGCACGGGTGCTTCTTCCCGGTAACAGTTAGCACAAAATCCTCCCGGTACTCTTGGCGGATATCTTTGCGCAGTTTGGCGAGAAGCCTGGAAGCCCACTTCTGTTTAATTTCAGGCTTTTCACTAAGTAGCTCATCCTTGACTGCTCTTTCCTCGTCCTTTGACATTCGCTTTTCATGTTTCTTAAAGTACTTGCGTTTTCGAGCCTGAAGGTTGAACCAAGTGTAGGCGATTGCACGGACATGTGGGAGAAGTGCCTCAATGAATGGGTGAAATTCATCCTGTTAGGAGAAGAAACAGGGTCGGGTAGGGGGGAGAGAGAAAAAACTGAAAGATCAGTTCTGTTTGCATGGTGAAGGCAAGAGCAACAGCCCCCCCCCATTTCTAAAGTAAAAAATGAATATATATATATATATATATATATATATATATATATATAAAAGGCTTTAATACCATGAGCACTAGGCGCTTTTCATTTTATTTAACCACAGTTTCAACTTCCAAAAAAATTATAAGTAACTGCTCTAAAAATACTTCCACATTTAATTTCTGGAATTCGCATGGAGTTTTGGCATCAGATTCGGCCCCCCCCCCCCACACACAGAGCCCTTCGTCTTTGGCCCCCAAATGACAACTCAAATATAACTGCTTCTTAAAATAAGAGCAATAAGTGGCTTCTAACATTTGCAGTTCAGATGTGCGACCAGCTACAGTACCATTTTTGCTAAGACATCCCAGCAGAACCCTTAAGAAGGTAGGTGTGAATTGCACCACACATTTCTCTTTCCCCGTGGCACAGAAACACAAAGCAGATGTGTGGTAAGTGCGGTGCTATACAGTTCCCACTTTTGGAGCACGCTGTCAGCGAGAGACCGATAGCTCAGCAAAGAGCATGCGCTCATAAAATTTGATCCATTTCTCTTATCAATCGCCCAACATTCCAGCGCTGAAACAGGGTCATTCCAGCGCTGATGATGCCTTCGGAAAGCATGGGAAAGTTAAGGAAAGGAGGCAAAAAGGAACATGATGTACAACAAGAGCCAAACCACCTAAGTTTTATGCACCGCTTATCTACCTTTCCTTTCATAACTTTGTGAAACAAAACTTTACGCACTCAAGAATTAAAATCGCATCATTATTGCTGTCCCAGCAATTTTGCTCCACTCTACTGTGGGGGGTTCAATGCCTTACAGTGTTAGTTAATTTGTTAGCTGGTCACGAGTATGTGGCAACTATTTGGGTGCCCCCCCCAAAAAAAATCTATCTCAGGCATACAATGAAAATGGACAACTTGGCACAAACTTTGCATTCTTTGTGCTTCAGCTGTCTGTGGCAGAGTGACATTAACACTGCATCGTTGGGTAAATCCTGCTTTTCTAAAATACGTGTTATTTATTTATAGTTCTAGAGAGTTCTTCCTATCATCAGGCTATTCCTAAAGATTCATATATTATTTTCCTAATTTTGATATTTATTGCAATTTAGATTCTATTCATTACTTTTGGCAATTATGTTACTTCGTGAAGTGGAAGATGCTCACCGTAAGGTTTCATCTTACAGACATTTCTTTCTGTCACATACGTAATTATTTTGTAACCAAAACAGCCTAAACACACATGGCAAGTTAATGTATGGTTTTGAAAAAAAACTGTGCCAAAATAAGAGCACTATTGTTGCTTCCCAACCTTTGGTATATGCATTTCTGAGTGGTTCTAAAGTTATTTTTTTCTTCTTAGACTGTTTTTAACTGGTTTTTTTTTTAATTTAAAAAAAAATCACTCCATGTACTTTCAAACTAAACGTTGAAGTCATGTTACAAGGAATATAATGCTGATGCTACAATTGTTCCCTTAGAAATTCAAACTGTATTTTTCAGGCGGGCAAAATGTTAATACACACTGATAGTAACACGTGTTAAATTTGAAAGCAGGTCAAACTGATCTAAATGAACTATTTTATATACAATATATATTTAGGATGGAGGTGCACATTAGATTAAAAGATTGAGTATATTTTATTGCTTTTATAATTACTGCATAGATTGTGCAAGCTGCTGGTTTTCGACCCAAGGAGTTAGTACTGAACAAATAAAGCTATGCTTGTATTTTTGTTACCTAATGTTCTGTATACTAAGCCTTGCATTTTTAGAAGTAAAGAAAACAGAGGTCTTCAGAATTACTGCAGGTTTGGTTTTTTAAACATAAACCTTCCCCTTCTATAGAGAGGGAAATGAACTAAAATAGAATGGATAGTATGAAACTCAAAATCATTACAATATAAAGTGAAGCAAAGTGGCAAAAGAATCATTAAGTAAAGTGATCAGTAGTGTTTTGAAGATTTCTGTCACTTTGAGGGCTACACCATGGAAAGAGTTAAACCACAATCTGCTCTTTGTGTGGGAAGGCAGCACAGTTCAGAGCAACCACAGCCCAAGATAAGACTTCCTTATCTCAATGCTATTTTTTTTTGTTAACTACTACAGTTTATTTCTTTCCTTCAGAAAAGAATTGACCGTGCAAAACAGCTATTCCAGAACTCTGGACTTTAATAATGCATTTAGAAGGAAAGTGGCAAAGCAGGCCGATTTGCAAGAAATGAGTGAAGCGGTGGTATCTGGTAGTTTTAAAATTACTGTGCAAAATAGATTTAAGACAGCATAACACTGATGCCAAGGTAGGGCCGTATTCTGTCAGTGATATAGTCCAAGTACAGTATTGTGGATCTTACCAAGAAAATTGTGAAGCCTCGGACTTCAGCATTACTTTTAGGCATGCGCCAAATACTGCCATAAAGCACCATTTCTAAGCATGTTTAAGTAAACCCCATCAAATTCAATGGAACCTACTAATTCAGTCCAGATAATACACCTAAATTTTGCATATTTCAGCTATGTAAGGACCTGCTAAAATCAGAAGCAATAATGGATACAAAGCTATGAGGAAACATATCTACTGCGATGAAAGTGGAAATAAGAACAGATGTTATTTAAACATGGAACATATATTTTTTTAATAAAATAAAAATTAAACCCTAATACCAAACCCTGCCATTTTGCTGTAGCATAGAATAACTCTATAATCTTCAATATACACCTGGGATATTTAAAAAAAAATGCTTGAAAATAAACAACTCAAAGTTTATTCTAGCTGAGACGTGACATCACAGACATTCTCCTCAAAACTGTTTAAAGGGTCATTTATAAAAGATGATATTTTGCGGAGAGTACTGACAGACAAAACACTGCAAATAAAGATGCATGTTGCAATTGCATGTGGCAAGAATTAACATGAATAATCAGCAATCATAACTGCATTTTGCAACCAAGCTACAGTTAGAAAAAGCTTTTCAAATGTTCTAACGTGCATTGGCAATTTGTTCATTGTACGCATTGTATGACAATTTGTATGCATGGACAATTTGTACAAAAATTGTTTATTTAAAATGGTTTATATCTATTCTGCAACCGTAGTATAAAATGGTCAAGTTTCCTCTCCAGAATAGGAACATGGAAAAGTATTTTCACATAACACCTTCTGTCCTTCCCATCGATTCATTTTCTAGTAGATGTAGGAGACTATTCCCCCCCCACACACACACACACAAAAGATGACTCCATAACAATATGTTTAAAGGTATGCAAGCTGCTTTAACTGACTTTTCTGTTCTAAACTGAATCAAAAGCAATGTAGGGGAGAAATAAATTATAGCAAAACCTTTAGGTTTGCTGGACTACTTCTGCAGCCAAACTATTAAAAACTTTCTTAGAATCTGAGCGTTAAAAAGGATCTAACATCTATGCCACAGACCTCAGAAAAGAAAAGCTTTTATTAATTGTACAAAACTGAGGAGGGAAGTATTCTATTACTAATCCTCCATTCTGCATAACAAATATAGATCCCATAGGTACGAAATTCCAGCTGACATCTCACTTACTGTTCTGTCCTACTGAGTGTAGCTGAGTGTGATCCCAAGTTAGTGTGCTTCGGATCACAATCTTAAAATACAGTAACATTTCCACTTCAAAGAAAAAGAGGAAAAGTCAGGTGTACTGAATTCTTTTTACTCCAATGTCTCCTAAGATTTCTGTGCACAGATATTTTATAAAGCACCGTCAGGACTACAGCCACAACAAACATCAATTGCTGTGCAAGTGTGGGGAGAACGGCAGCTTTGGGGTTTAATTTTGCTAGATTTTTTTTCTCCCACAAATGTATATACAGCACAGCAATATGCCATTCAGTATTCAGAAATGAGTGACGTGCAAATTGACAGAGCAAATAGGACTTAGAAAAACGCTGGACGTACAAAACTTCATTTCAAAACTTGGAGGTACGTCTAAAAACCACTCAAGTAGTATTAAAATTATGTGCCGCTAGGTTTGTCATGAAACTGTTTGGAGCAGTGAGTTGTATACAAACTGAACCTGAACAAACTACTTATCTTGCATAAACCAAAAGTGATATTTAACCATACATATGGCAAACAACTGATAGAACTCACTCAAGAGCTTTTGTGAAAATATTGTTTTTTTTAAAAAAAACGCACAGGAAAGGAGGCAAATAGGCAGGAAATAACAACAGACCATAACATACACATAACAACTGGAGGTGCCTTTTAAAGTTTCAACTTTGAAGGTAAATTATGATACATATCTTGTATCAGCACAGAGTAGCAGATAATGAAATCAAGGCAGCATTCATGTATCTGTAAGCAAATTCCACTTAAACTAGCCAAACTTATTTCTATGCAAATGTTCCCAATATGGAGGTGGAAGTATCAAATTTTGCAAGCAGCAGAGTACCTAGTGAATGAAAAAAATATGGTAATGCTGTATGTCTAAATCTATTACAAGATACCTATATGCTGGGATATTGACTTCTTTTTTTTTACATGTTTCAAATATCTTGCAACACCTTTTCCCACCTGTTTTGCACCAATGAAGTTTACGTTCACTTGCTGAAAAGATCCCCAAGTTAATCACACTTTGATGCCAAACAAAATATAAACAATAAAAAACGTGTCAGCCAAAAAGCTACATGACTGTATCCAATCACTGAATAAGCCTTATCATTGTTTAAATCTTCATTCACAATGCTGTGAATGCCTCAGTCCTTTGGAACCACAATGGCTTCTAATTGTCAAATGAAATCTTAATTATTTAACTATATCGCAATGTATGCCACAGAAATATTAAACAACTCGGAGCCTTCGTTCTTTCCACACCTATTAGTCATATAATTGCAGATTAAACCATTCAAATTGCACCCTGCTTAGATTTTAACTAGAACTGTTTAGAACTGACCTAGAGATTCACATTTTACCTGAAATATACCCTGACCACTTAACGATAAATGTTACTAATGTTACACGCTATAGACCCTTAACATCTCACATGGCGCTATGCTGCAATTTATATTGGATCAGAATCTGCAATCCGTTTCTTTTATTTATTTATTCTGAAGCTTTTATCCTGCCAATCATCACAAAAGACTCGCCATATGTTAAAACTATAAATACCTTCTTTGCATCAAAGCTATTTGCAGTTAAATCTTTTTGTAACATTCTTTGTCCAAATGCTCTACCAAGTACTAGAATTTATATGCAGTACATAAAATAACTCTTTCTAACGTCCAAAAGAATACGCAAGCCTGCAGGCCAAAAGTGACAGCAAAAGTTTAATTTTGTTTTTGACCTTGGACGTCGACTTTATAAAGTTACAAAAACCGAAGTAAAGCAGGAAAAATGTACTGGATAGCCAAATGAGAACTTCTACTGCTCAGAGACCTTTTCTTTTCTTTTCTTTTCAAACGAACCTCACATTACTGGAAAGGCTATGCAGTATATGATAAAATTCAGCATGGGATCATATTATGTTTCTACTGTCAATGCTTAATTAAAAATAATGGAACACTTTCGCCTTTTGTCACTCAGATACCTAAACAGAAGAGCTAAAACGATGGTAGCAGCAATAGCATTTTCTGGTCTAGATCAATACGATTCATACCTACATTTTCATTATATACATTTCTAATATATAACCACTGGGATTTATTTCCTCCAGAAACAATTTAACAATATTTAGCAACATCACCGGTATTTAAATAAAATAAAATGTTGCATTCCTTCTTCCGCCCCGCGTCCTTCCCGCACACACCTCGAAGAGTTAAGATTTACACAACTTAACAAAACACATGCAATACAGTTGAGGTTCTCCCCCCCCCCCAAAAAAAATAAAGTCCGAGTGGCTCGAACAGTTTGCAACTCTTACAAACCCACCCGCTTGCCGAGAGCAAGTTTCGTGGTGTTTTTTTGTTTGTTTTTGGATTGGTAAGAAAAGGCGACAAATATCTACCTGAGTGAGACAGATGGGAGAATACATCATGACTTCGCTCTGAGAATGCACTTCTGCGGAGAGAAAAAGTATCAAAAGCGCAACGGTCTCATCTGTTCATGTTACAGTCATCGGGCGAAATCGGAATCAGAAGGAATCAGAAGGAGCGACCGCGGAGCGCCGCGAGTTCCCGACAAACCCCAGTCCTCCTTAAATAGCCAAAGAGATTCAAGTTCACTCCGAGCGCTGGATTTCCCGGGGTGAAATCCAATCTACACTTTTTAACCCTCTTGTTCTCGGAGACTCCGTCTTGGTGCTGTTGCTGCTGCAGTTGCTGCTGGTGGATTGGGGCTGCGGGGGGGGGGGGAGAAACCGGATGGTGGGGGGGGGGCTGGATGGATGGAATGCAGCAGGAGTTAAGGAGGGGGGGGGTTGGCGAGACTTTTCCCTTCCCTCGCTCGCGCTGCCTTTTGCACCACCACCACTTACTAATACTACCACCCCCCACTTCTTTCTTTCCCGGATCTGCAATCGCTCTTGGAGAAGCTGTCGCGGCGCGGGGGTTGATACACCACGGTACTGTCAAACCCCGTTGCCAAAGTTCAAGGTTGCTGCGGCGGCGGCGGCGGCGGAGCGGAGCAGGAAAGAAATCCTGGCGCGCGCGGTGATGGCAAGGCGAAAGTTTGCAAAGGAAGAGAGAGCCCTGTGCGCTCGAGCGCCAGCCCGGGAGAGTGTGCGCGCGCGCGTCCCCCCAAGGCTGCAAAACACTTCGCAGCAGCAGCAGCAGCAGCGCGCAACCGCCGGGCTTCTCTCGCAGCAGCAGCAGCCTGTGCCTCTCTCTCTCTCTCTTTCTCCCCTCCCTCCCCTCCACCCCCTTTCTCTGTGGATAATGTTCAGAGCCTGCTTTCCAAACGCCCACTGTAATAAAAATGATCTCTTGAAAATTCAAAACGATCAATCTCTTTCTTCCCCCCCACCCTTCTTCTTCTTCCCGTCCTCCTCCTCCTCCTCCCTCCTTCCCCTTCCCCCTCCCTCCTTTATGATCTCCTTTCTGCAAGACCTGGACGTTCAAGAAGGGGAGGGAGGGGGTGTCCATGTGCGTGTTTGGGGGGTTTTTTGCATTGCACCGAGCGCACTTCTTTGGGTCCGTCCCGTCCCCCCCAGGCTCAAGCTCTGCTCCCCCCCCCCCATCAGACTTCAGGATTTCGGTTTATTATTTCATTACACCATCGACGCTCGCCCTCCTCCTCCTCCTCCCCCAGCTGCTGCCGCTGCAAACACATTCCTTTCTGAGCCCCCTCCCCTCTCCGTGGCTTTTTCCTCTTTATTAATCATCATCTCGCACTGTACGAGAGCTCGGCTGCTGCCCATTTCGCAAACATGCTTTTGCACTTTCTCCTGCTCTCGCCCTCCCCTCCCCCCCCCCACCCCATGGTTAACCGTTAGGGGGAACTCTGTGCTGGGGGAAAGGAAAGAGGAGGGGAGTGCGTCTGGGTTTGGGAGAGGAGGACGCACACTGGGGAGAGGTGGGGGGGTTGGACGGCGGCGGGGAAGAGAGAGATTATTTGCAAAGCGCAAGTTCCCCGAGAGCGCCAAAAGAAGGGAACAGCCCAACTTCGCTCCTGAAAAGCTCCCGCTGGAAAATTCCCGCACAGAAAAAAAGTGGGGAGGAGGAGGAGGGAACAAAAAAAAAGGGAAAGTGCAAGGGAAAGCAACCCCCCCCCCTTAAACAAAATAGTCCGCCGCTCTGTGGACATTCGATATAGCAGTTGCGGGGGAGGCGTGCGGGGGGCTACAAAGCCGGAAACTTTGCCAGCTCGCAACTAATTAGCCAAACAAGAATGGAGAGGGGTGGGGGGGAAGGAAATGTGCGCCGGGGGGGTCTTTCTTTGCAGAGGCATTCCCAGCACGGGCAGCGTCTGCAAACCTCGCTACCCTGTCGCCTTGCATGTGGAGCCAAGGTCACTGCATTGTGTAGCTAGTGCTGGGAGGGGGGGCAAAGTGGGGAGGGGGTCTCTCTCGCTCTCTCCCCGTTGCAATATGGGGCTGGGCGTGCTCTTGCAGAGACCCTGTGACGGAACGGAGTTGGGAGGGGGGGAGGAGAGGAGACGCCCTCCTCCCGGGGAGCCCCTTCCACGTGGCCCCTATCCCCCGCCCGGCGGCAGAGGAGCCGCCGCGCTCACACGCGTGTGCGCTGCTCGGATAGGCTGCTTTCCCGTCCCTCTCCGGCGGGCTTTTTTTTCCCCCTCAGCTCAGCTCAGGGAGGGAATGGGTGGCGGGTTCCTCCTGAGGGGGGAGGAAAGGAAAAAAGCCCGCGGTAGCAACACACTAGTCTGCTTTCAATCTCGCCAGCCAGCTCGTGCCAGGGAACTGAAAAGAGTTCGCGCGCGCGCGGGTTGCAGCCTTTTTTCGCTTCAAGGAATGCAAGCGAATTAAAACAACGCAGGCCGACCAGGTTCTCACACGGTGCGAAGATCCGGGAATATACTTTTGGGAACGTCTCCCGTCTCCCTTTTCATTCTGTATCCCTATATATAGAAACTCATGAGGACAGCTGCCCCATGCATGGTGTAGCCTAGTCCATGAAAGCTTGTGTGCCATAAGATTATTATTTTTTGCATTTAAGGTGCTGCAAGGCTCTTCGCTGTTTTCCTGCAACAGACTCGAAGGAACCCCCCTCGCGGGTTGACAACATAAAGGTTGCAAAAGGACAGCCTTCTTAGGTTGCCAACTGGGGAATTTATTTGCCAACTTATTGCACCAGAACATTGCAGCTGTATAAGGGGCACTCCTTTGCTTAAACGCGCCCAACGCTCACCTTGCCCTGCCTCAAATTCTGCAGACTTTGACCTGATGAACCAAAACAGGCAAAAGCGAGACTCTTCCACCAGGCCAGCGCCTGCCTGCCTCCTGCCTCAGGTAAACTTTCCTCCTTGGCCTCTCCCTCCAGCCCCTTCCCCCGCTGTGTAAACTGTCCTGAAGGGACCAGTGACTTTTCCTTTTTCCCTTTTCTTTTTTCTTTTTGCAAAGTGGGATTTATTCACATCAGGCATTTCACAAGGACACATCAAGAGAAGCAGGCAGGTTCAAGTCAACCATGAAATGGTCACTTTTTAACCCCGTCCTGTCCTCATTAGGGAAATACTCAAACACAACCCATTCTCAAAGGGGTCTCTTAATGAGGGGAGCTTGCCAAGTCGAGCAGCTGCAATTGCCATAAATTTACAAGCCAGAGGGAGGGGGAGGAAACGAGAGAGGGGTTGGTACAAAGCAGGTAATGTCAAAGCAAATGGCTATGGCCAACAGATTAACCCTTCAAAGGCAGCCCACCTCAACTGTAGGTGCACTTCCCATCAGTGTAAACCCATAGAAATAACACTTTTTTCTCTCTTATTAAGGAGTGCTGTAAAGTGACCACTTTAGAGTACTTCACTTTAGAGTGCTTTGCACTAATATAAGATGTGATAAAGTTATTTTGGGGTGAATCACACACAATTTTTTAAAAATATCAGAAAATGTTCTAAGGCCTACAGGGTGACGAGGGGGTGACAATTCTGGTTTAAAGACCTGAAGTTTCCTTTGTGAATAAATATTCAGCGTGTCCTCCATTAAACTGCCATAAAAGACAAATTCACCAACATACTTGAACGTACCTTTTTTCAGCTGTTGGGATTCTTGAACAACAAGAGTCTTTCTAAAACACACACACACAAACCACTGAACTATAGACATGGCAATTTTGTGAATGACCCAGATTGTGTATACACACACACACACACACAGCAGCCAAAATCTTTATATATCTGTTTAATAGCACTGGAGATAAAATAGTGACCTGCAGCACCCCATAACATAGCTACCAGGGGACTTAAAAGCATTCTCCCAATGCTACTCTCTGGAAACTGACCCAAAGTAGGATCAGAAGGAACTACTCTGTATTACAGTGCTCCCTATTTCCATTCTCCAGAGCTGGTTGGGGAGGGTACCACGGTCAATGGTATGGAAAGCTGAAGAGAGATCAAGAAGCAGAAGATTGGTTACACTCCCCCGACCCTCTCTGTAACAGTCATCCATTAGGGCAACCAAGGCTGAATGAGTCCCATGGTCAGGCCTGAACCCAAACTAAGACCAATGGGTTTCATTGGAACTGATGTTCCATAAGAGCACAAGAAACCCTCCTGGTCCGGCCCAGTGACCCATCTAATCCATCACCCTGTTCTTATAGTAGCCAACCAGATGCCCATTGGGAACCCAAGTAAACACGTATGATCACACTGAACTTGTGTGATCTCAGAAGTCTCAGGTTGTAGCATTCCTTTCAAGCTATGAACTTTTCGGTGGCCTTGAACAAACTACTGTCCAGGAGAGATAATACTGCTGACTTAGCTCCTTACAGGGTTGTTGGAAAGACTGTTGTAATGAGAATAACTTTTGGGTAGTCTGAAGTGCTCTTTGCTCACACATTACTCACATTTAGGAGTCTCCGTGCGATCAAGGGGAAGTAGGGCTGTGCAGATGTCCTCACCCTCAAGGCTGAACAGGCCCCACATCTGACACAGAGGGTCTAAGTGAAGGTCTTCATAATACCTCTGTGCAGTCAGGGTTCCAGCTCCAGGGAAGCTCTATGTATGTAGGCATAGCCTTCACCTGTACCGATGTCCACACCTAACATGTGAATGTCAGGGTCAAAGGACTGCAAGGGCCACCAGCACAGCCCCATAGTTTTTTGATCACCTAACGGGAGCAGGGGCAGAGTACTTCCATTTACATGGTTCCATTGTTTCATAATTACCACCTCACATGCACCATGTGCACAGAATTCTGTTTTTCCATGTAACTGAACTTTCACAGCAAGTCCATCAGTTTTGTGTAATAACAATGAATACATTTTAAATGTCTTCTTCCTTTCATCTCTGAAAGCAGGTGGTGGATCAAGGTAGTTTTCAATCTTAGAATTACGTTCTCAATGTGAACATCATGGTACAGTGGATGCTCGGGTTGCAAACGTGATCCATGTAGGAAGCACATTCACAACCTGCAGTGCCTCGTCTGCGCGGGTCGCGATTTGGTCTTCTGGGCATGCGCAAAGCTCAATTTAATGCATCTGCACAAGCACTGAAACCCGGAAGTAACCTGTTCTGGTACTTCCAGGTTCAGCACATTGCACAATCCAAAAACACGCAACCTGAAGCGTCTGAAACCCGAGGTATGACAGTACATGGAATCATAGAGTTGGAAGGGACCGTGAGAGTTATCTTGTCCAACCCCCTGCAATGCAGGAATCTCAGCTAAAGCATCCATGACAGACGGCCATCCAACCTCTGCTCAAAAACCTCTAAGGGAGGAGAATCCACCTCCTCTTGTGGGAGTCAGTTCCACTGTCGAACAGCTCTTAATTGTCAGAAAGTTCTTCTGTATGTTTAGCCGGAATCTCCTTTCTTGTAACGTGAAGCCATTGGTTCAAGTCCTACCCTCTAGAGCAGAAGAAAACAAGCTTGTTCCATGCGACAGCAATTCAAATATTTGAAGATGGCGATCATACCTATCCAAACTGTCCAAAACTATTGTGAATCAGTACAAAACTGATTTTGAAGGGAGATCTCAAACCGCTAACAAACAGAAAACACCTCAACATAGAAACAAAATTGAAAGTTTCACTTCATTTTGACATTAAATATCCAGACTTGCACTGGATCAGTCCCATCTACAATTGTATATCACACTGCATTGGCTAGTTTGATCCTTCCCAAGGCCTGGAGCACCCATACTGTTGTTATTGTAACACTGGTCACTCTGTGACAACTTCACCAAGTTTGCTCGCACAGTTTAGAAGCACTTGAGGTGTTGTACTCAACTATCATAG